AAAAGTAGGGACATTCTCTGATAGACAAAAGCTGAGAGAACTCATGTATATTAAAAACTGCAATAGGGCCAGGTGCAGTGGCTCACACCTGTAATCCCAGCACTTTGGGAGGCCAAGGTGGGCAGATCACCTGAGGTCAGGAGTTCAAGACCAGCCTGGCCAATATGGTGACACCCTATTTCTACTAAAAATATAAAAGTTAGCTGGGCTTGGTGACATGTGCCTATAATCCCACCTACTTGGGAGACTGAGGCAGGAGAATCACTTAAACCTGGGAGGTGGAGGTTGCAGATCGCACCATTGCACTCCACCCTGGGCGACAGAGCAAGAGTCAGTCTCAAAAAAAACAAAAACAGAAACAAAAAAACAGAAAAGAAAAAAACCACTGCAATAGGCTGGCCACTGTGTCTCATGCCTGTAATGCCAACACTTTCGGAGGGCAAGGCAGAAGGATCACTTGAGCCTAGGAGTTCCAGATCAATCTGGGCAACATATCAAGGCTCCATGTCTGCAAAAAAGAAAAAGAACAATTAGCCAGGTATAGTGGCGTACACTTGTGGTTGCAGCTACTCAGGAGGCTGAGGCAGGATGATCGCTGGAGCCGAGAAAGTTGAGGCTGCAGTGAGCCACGTTCATGCCACCACACTCCAGCCTGGGTGACAGAGACCCTGTCTGAAAACAAAAACAAAAACAGTCCATGGGAGCCGAGTGTGCTGGCTCACACCTCTAATACCAGCACTTTGGGAGGCCAAGGCAGGAGGAGTGCTTGAGGCCAGGAGTTTGACACCATCATGGGCAACACAGCAAGACCCACAAAAAATTTCTTACATTTGCCTGGTGTGGTGACATGCACCTGAAGACACAGCTACTCAGGAGGCTGAGGCGGGAGGGTCGCTTGAGTCCAGGAGCTCAAGGCTGCAGTGAGCTATGATCGAGTCATTGCACTCCAGCCTGGCAGCCTGAGCAACAGAGTAAGACTGTCTCTAAAACAACAACAGCAAAACTGTCCATGGGCTGGATCTGGCCCATGGGCCCCACTTGTTTTCCAACCCCTATAATATATCAACTTAACAAAATAAAAAAGAGAAATACGTAATAATCTTATTAGAAGCTAAAAATGCAACTCACAAAATTTAAAAACCCTGCCTAATAAAAACTCAACAAACTAGGAATAGAAAGGAACTTCTTTGGGCTGGTCTATGAAAAA